TTGGCCATTTCTTTTTCGTTTGTCTTTTTTCTCCTTGAAGGCGGCTGTGGCACTGGAAGGCTGCGGGCTGGTGGACATGCACTGGTTTCGAAGGTTACGATAAATACCCGTACTACTCAGGCGTTCATATTTTGGATTCCAAAGACACCCTCATGAGCTTGGATCAGAACCTTTTCACGCTGCACGTTCAGCCTCACAAAGACAGCCTTGATTTGATTGATCTTGTTGACCCATCCGGAAATCCACATTACAGAAAGGAACGCGTGCCGGGAGCCCTATACAAGATCAATGTATACGGTAAAGTCAGCATGCTCACTCAGGGTGTCTGTTAAACTTATTGAACGGTGTTTCAGACCCACTATCAGAGTCGTTACTGGCGACTGCCACGGCACCGAATGCCACAAGCAAACACAAGACGATCGAGCTGTATAACCCATCTCAGGTAGTCGAGCTAAAATATTCGGGGACTATCTCATTCAAGTGGCGATTCAAGTGGGAAGAGTACGTGGCTGCGTGTTTGCGATATAACTCATCGTGAATTGGGATGCATTCTCTAGACATGAATTCGAATGGAGACGCGAGGAATGCTACATTCTGCGTAAACCCGATCCAGCTGTCCTTGTGGCTGTCACGAAAGAACCCCCAGGTCGACTGAGGACGTCTGTCGTCCAAATTCTTGACTATAACCTCAATCGGTCAGTGCCCGTAGTCCAGATTTCCTGGAAGCGTATTTACATTCTGCTCCAGTTTCGACATTGATGATCGCAAGGGACTCGAGATTGTCATTCTCACAGCACTACTAACGTTCCAAGACACTAACGAAGCCTACCATACCCCGAACACGACCCCTCCTGCTGTTACCTCCTCGACCAAACCCGTAGCCCCAGGAGCTGCGGCAGCAGCTGCGGTCCCCCCACCCGAAACAGTTGCCAATGTACCTACTGCTGCGCCGCCTGTAGTCCCTCCGAGACCACCTCCCAAGACGGGGGTTGACCGAATAGCGGAGCTTCACCTGGTCAGGACATTGCAAGGTGAAGGCGAAGCCAACGAGATTGAAGTCGGCGTCGAAGGTAGTATCGAGGATTATGCTCAATACGCAGAGAAGCTACTGAAGGTGAGGCGGTCGTCAGTCCCCGGATGCGAATGTCTTTGTGCTGAGCTGTTGATGGACAGGACGATGCGATGCTGTTCATCACGATACGGTCTGCATCAGCCGTACAAGTACCCAAGGTACTACAGGTAGTCGAACAGACCAAACGACTGCGGTACAAGTCAGGTAAGTAAGCAACGCGAGTCGGTGATTTACCGACGTTGAGCACCTGTGCCTAGGTCTGTCGGATGACCAAGAATTGCATCAATACGTCGTATATGACGCTCCGAGCCAAAAGAGAGGTCCCAAACGTATCAACCTCGATGACCCCGTGCCGGTCGGTGGGAAGGGGTACAAACCGCCAAGTAGCTTGATGGTACACCTCAGCAAGATTGATATGCCCGAACTCCAACCCAAAGTTGCCCCGAGCGTACCCTCCAGCAGCAAGCCAAGCAAACCGACCAAATATGAGTCGCCGCCGGTTGTGGCAGACACCAAACCGGGCAAGGACAAGAAGGATAAGAAAGACAAGAAAGACAAGAAGGATAAAAAGTCTGATAACGAGAAGAAAGGTAGAAAGGGTTCTCGTACTTGACTATAGCTCCTGACATTGTGCAGACTCACACGCAGCACCTTCAACCAACCTATTCACACGACCATCATCATTCTTCTCGTCGCATACTAAACCATCAGCCTCACCACCATCCAGTTCAATGGCACCTCCAACGCCAGCCCCGTCCTCCTTCGAAGATCCTCCGTTCCGCGTCCCAAGTCCCTTTGGTCACTCGGGACCACCACCTCCACCATTCTTCCCTGGAGGTGGACCAAGTTTCCCAACTGCACCAAACCCATTCAACTCGGGGCGTAATAGCTTCTATGGCGGCGCAGGCAGCTCAGGCTACAATCCGAGTTATAACCCGAGTTATTATTAAGTGGATTTTTGCTCCATTCAACACGAGGACTCACCAATGTACTATCTTACCTATCTATCACTCACCATCTATGTGCGGAGGGAATACCCAGTCGGATATACGTCTATTACCAGAGATACACAAATAAAATATCCTATCTTACATCCATGTTCCGTCCTCAACTAATGGTACAATCCGGCCCATCTCCCGCACGACGATTGCAGGTATCACCCTTGGTATGGTTGAGGTGCTCCATTACCAACCAAGATCATGTCATCGACGATCTCGTCGTGTTCGGTGCGCTTGTACGTTCTGATTGTCTCGCCGTAGTCCGAGATATCGTATAGTCGGAACCGACGATCGAAGCCAATCTTCCCGTAGCCCGAGTACGAGCTGGTAGAATTGAATCATTAATGACATGTGCAGGGGTCTTGACGAGAAATAAGACTTACCCTCCACCACCGAAACACATCCACACTCCTTTGATTCGTCTGCAATTCTCCGTAACTTCAAGATGTCAGTATTCAACTCAACGCACAGTATGGCGGGACACATACTATGACAATGTCCATTGGCGATGACCTTGACCTCTTTCGTGTTACCTCCCGCACGATGATCAGTCTCAAGAGCTTGAAGGATACCCTTATGGAAGAATCCATCTTGCTTCTTTGCGTTCCCATGCGGTTCTACCCCGCTCTGACCGACATCGAGGGGTTTGCCAGTTGATGGGTCTGTATCAGCTTTTGAATACGCTTCCTCGCTGGGACAGGACATCAATACCATGGGGCTAGAGGAGGAGGAAGAAAGAACATACAGAGGTATGTGGAAGAACATGAGGGCGTTGGGCTTAGCCAAACGACGGGTACTGGGTAGGTACTGGTCTGACGATTGACGACTCCAGAGGCCTCCCATGTCTTTCGCGCCATCAGGAGTGAAGGGACGCTCTATTGAAGAGATTCGTGCTTGGATGAAGATAAGCAAATGGCGATTTCGGCGCCAGGAGAGGATACGTACATGACTCTTCGAGGAACCAGTCAATCTGGTCTTGATGGATCCAATCGTACTCGGTACCGTGAACCAAACCAAAAGGATCGTACCAACCACGTGAATATGACCCAGAGTCCAGGAAATAGAGCGTGAGCAGTTGTGTTTTCGATCTGCAAGGATGAGAGCATCAACAATAACCCGACGCCATATACCTGGTATGGGACCTACGGATCGGCACTGTAGACCTTCAACAGGTAGTTTCCAACACCATGAATATCCTTTGGCCCAGACTCGACGAGGCTATAGGGTAAGCCCTGCATCCACTTAATCTGCGCTTCTCTGGATTCGCCGTCTTCATCGTCGTGGTTCCCGAACACTGCAGCCCATGGAATACCACGATCCGTGACAGTTTGAGCGAACTTGGCCAGGACGGATTTGGCATCCCATGACGTTCCTTGGCCATTCAATTGGTCTCCGGTGAAGACAACCATATCTGGGTTCTCCACGTCCAAGACATGCGATATGAGTGAGTTGGTAATGTTGTCTGACCCTTCGCAAGGCGAGAGAAGCGTGTCTCTGCACACGCCTGCCGTTACTGAGAAGTGAAGATCTGCTACTTGCAGAACTTTGAACTTTCCGTCGCGCGAAAAATGGAGGGGTGGTGCGCGAGGTGGTGCTATAGCCATTCAGATCGATATATGCGCTTCAGATTAGCAACAGCATGTACTCACGTTTCACGCCTCGACGAATGGTGACCCAAACACCTGCAGCAAAGTTTTGCTGAGGGGCGGCCGGAGGTTCGACTTTCTCAAAACCATACCACGGCTTGTCGTCACCAAACATGACATCAATCTCAGTGATCATGTTTTGCTTGTCAGCGTCGGACATCTGGCGCAGCATCTTTTCTGCCTTGTACCAAATGTACTTCTTCTCACCATGGGGACTTATGGACCTCGATACCAGATGCCAAACGTCGCTAGACTCGCCGGGTCCATATGGGGTTTGCCCATCGGACAGGATACGAATGTCGCTGATGAGCGGAATATCCAATCTTCGTGTACGACGATAGTAGATGTTCTATGAATGATGCAATTTAGTACATGAAATTCTCGCGATTATTGAGCATATATGCGACACTATGATCACAACGCAAGAGATACTCACCAATGCGCCATATCCTTGTCTCTTTAGATTCTGGTTGACGAGAACCCATTTTCCCCGCGTGGTGTCTAACTCCTTCGTAGACCATGGAGCACAGACATCGAGAGGTACCCATGGGAGGCTTCCTGGACTAACCCAACACTGTGTAACAGCGATTTCAGACACTACGCGCACCAAACATGAGCGACGGTGAAGCTGATGACAGCACTTGCATATGCTCACAGCCTGTATCATGAGGCATCAAAGGGTCCCACACGTCCAAAGGCAAACTAACGGGATCGAATTGCGGCGCTGTGGTTTCAGAGACATTCCACCAATCAACCTCATGAGACGGATCCTGACTTCCTACGGGTTGTTCAGGGCTAGAAATAGCCCCAGAGGTATCCTGTCCAGCAGGTTTCTCCTCTACATCCACATGGTCCGATCCCGGGGTGTCTATGACAATGTCCCAGGATTGCCAGCCCAAGCGTTGAATGCTACCAGGTCCTGGAGTTGGTTGATAGAGAATGAAGATGAACGTCAAGAGACATGAGAAACAGAATATCGCTGTTGCAGGTACAAATATGGACCGAATGAACCGAGCCAGACGTGGAACTGTAGGAATTGGCATGTTGGCGGCAGCAAGCACTGTCGATGCTGCTCTGCCCTATGACGGATGCGTTTGTTTGTTTGTTCTTGTTGTCCAAGGGCTTCGACGCCGTTGCCTTATAAAGGCACTATTAGGCTACGCCCCAATCTCGTCTCGGTCCCAGCCGCTCCTCGACGAGACCACCCCAATGGTGAGTTGTACTTGGATTTCTTCGCCTTCTGACTCTGCAGCTTATGGAGCCTAATGCAAACCACACATATCATCGGATATGGTGTAACGGCTAACATTACCGCTTTTCAAAAGTGATACACGATCATTGTTCGCGGTAGCTCGGGGTTCGATTCCCCGTATCCGAGTTATTTTTTGCCTGTGGCAGCATGTAAAGCTTAATAACATTGAGTCATACTGATCATGAGTGCAGTAAGTATATTTGAACTCAATGAAAGATTATGCCAGAAAGTGTCTTCAAGCCGTTACACATATCCCGGGTGCCATCATAAAGCTCAGAGCCTGAGAACGAGAAGAAGTCCGAGTCCGAACTGATGAATATCGTGTCTGTCAAGGACGGAAACTAGTACAATTGATTTTCACAAGCAGAAGACAATATACAGTACATTCCGATCGTTAGTAAGAACATTCAAGGCCCATAGATCTCAAGCGCAGACAGCGTCACGGAGATACACAATTGTCGTCAGTGGTCGATTTATAGAGTACAGGAAAGCCCTTATTCTCCCAGAACAACGGTCAGTGAGCAGATACGAACTCAAGCCCGGCTGCGACTGCCTCCCCGGTGGCGGGAACCAGAGCCGTGACGTCTTTTGGTGAGCTGTGCATGAATGGCTTAGTATCAGTTGGAACATACATGGGAGAGAAAAACACTTACACCACTCCTGCTGCCACTACGGTGGCGAGACCCTGAGCCATGACGTCTAGCTTCGAGCTCCTCGCGGCAGCTGTGGCTACGACCACGAGACTGGGAACCGTGTCGGCGAGCTTCCAACTCTTCACGGCGAACGTGGCTGCGTCCGCGAGAGTTGGATCCGTGACGGCGAGCTTCTATCTCCTCGCGACGGACGTGAGAGCGGCCACGAGACCCAGAGCCATGGCGCCTCTTAGCGAGCTAGAGAAGTGAACTTAGTACAGGCTTCAGCAATGTAGAACGAGCAACGTCAACATACCCCGATTTCTTCCTCGCGACGACCGTGACTGCGTCCGCGAGAGTTGGAACCATGACGGCGAGCCTCTATCTCTTCGCGTCGAACATGAGAACGGCCACGAGAGCCAGATCCGTGACGTCTGGCCTCAATCTCCTCGCGGCGGACGTGAGAACGGCCTCGAGACCCAGAGCCATGGCGTCTCTTGGTAAGCTTCAGGAAATAAGTGAGTTCTCATAGTAATGCAACGAGAAACGACCAATGAGATACCTCGACCTCTTCCTCGCGGCGACCGTGGCTACGTCCACGAGAGTTGGATCCATGGCGGCGAGCTTCTATTTCCTCGCGACGAACATGAGAACGGCCACGAGAGCCAGATCCGTGACGTCTGGCCTCGATCTCTTCGCGGCGGACATGGGAACGTCCGCGCGAGCCAGAGCCGTGGCGTCTCTTAGCGAGCTGTGTTAAACTATAAGTCCGCAGTCAGGTCACGCGAGACAAACCAACGTACCTCAACCTCTTCCTCACGCCGTCCGTGGCTACGGCCACGGGAACCAGAACCGTGACGTCTCTTAGTGAGCTATAGACACCAATCAGCCTCATGCACATGACAACATGAGAGAATGGAAAAATATACCTCAATTTCTTCCTCGCGGCGTCCATGGCTACGGCCACGAGAACCAGAGCCGTGGCGACGAGCCTCCAGCTCCTCACGGCGGTTGTGGCTGCGACCACGAGAGTTCGAGCCATGTCGCCTAGCTTCAAGCTCTTCGTCACGGCGGTTGTGACTACGGCCGCGACCACGACTGCCGCTATCACCACCGTGCCTAGGGTCACGAGCTTCGATGCGTACAGTGCTTCTGCCTCGAACGATCGCATTGGCGGCGTCGAACCCGCCGGAAATAGCGACATCCCTAGCGGAAATATCCGCTACGTTGACCTGGTATAGGGTTAGGAAGGAAGGAAGCAGGAATAAGGGGAATACTTACGGGGATAGCCGCTGCGGTGGTCATGACCGCGGCCAAAACGAAGAGAACAAAGTTCTTCTTGAACTGCATGTTGAGCTTGAAGGTTGTTGGTTAGTAGTAAGTGTGTTTAGTCGTGGTCGTGCTAAACTCGTTAGAGCTATGAGGCTGGAGAGCGAAACAACCAACAAGGCGCACTTATATACCCTCCTGCAATGCCAAGCGACAGCTAAATATGCCTCTCGTCACCTTGCGAAATGTCGACACTCTCCTCACACAACAGAAGGTTCGCGCAATGCGATGATGCGGCTTGGCTTTGGGAAAGGAGAGACTATACCCGCGCGCACACGACTCACAGCAAAGCACCCGGCCACCCACAAAATGATATGCGCGTTAGACTTGGCGTGTACAACTGTGAGGTTCCTCGGAGGCGCAGCAGCTGTCGGTTACAGCAATCGTGGCTTGATGGATCATAAAAATGGATACGGATTGCAAAGGATATACCAGGTCATCGTTGTTTTTGTCGTATTGAACCTGCGAAGCTCAAAGGTCATGTTTATGTTAAATCGACTGTCGAAATCATGAGCACCGAAAAGCAGCCCTCGGAATCAAACTAAACCTACCTCGACAGGAGTCATTGTATACATTCTTACCTTGTCCATGGGTGAGAGCTCATCGATCGTCCGAAGGCTCGTTCCCGCGCCTTTGACAACGGTAATTGAATCGGTTTTGAATGTGACATCCGCGGGATCGTATTCGCAAGAGTCTATTTATGGTCTGCCTACTTGGCGTAGCAAAATATGCTTGATATTCCCGCTGCGCAGTTTGCGAGAGAAAGTGAAGTGTCGTCGCGGGCGCCATGGTATAGTAGCCGTGCACCTACGTCAAAAGCGAGCACTGGCATGCATGTACGCAGATGCTTGTCAGTGGTTTAGTCCCTCACATATTAGCGCATGCGGGAATATTGCAATACTCACATCAGTTCACCTTGAGGAATAATATTCATGTATGGGAAATCCTGGCAAATTATCTGAATGCCCCCGATTGATCGATTGCAAACATCTTATTTCGCACACAGCGATGGGGCCGTTCCTCGATGCCCATGGACCTGGTTCTTCAGCAACGGCACTTTTAGTATCCCATGGGGTTGGCTATGATAGACAACAAGGCCAGACCGCCGGAAAGAACCAGCAGGTTGCCATGAGCACTCGAGATCTAGACCGAGATGGGAAGAGCTTACACACGCACTTGCGTTGACCATTCTCAACTTCATCAAATAAGGCCCCGCAAGACACCAGACTTTGGGCCGGCCTGACACCAGAGAGAACCTTTAAGGAACCGTGGTGTCATGGCGTATAAGCCAAGGTATCTCGCGTCAAATATGTTCACTTGCATTTCATGCTTCGTGAGTGGGCAATTCGCGTGCAGTAGCTCCGCTGGAGTACTAGAGAGGCACCGAGCGTCCCAAGCTGATGCATGGTATTCTCCCGTTAGCCTTTACAATTGGCTATTCTTAGCATGTGACAGCAACAATGCGCAGTCTGTTCATCGTTTAGTGAGCAAGTACTGGGCGTGGACAAGGGGTACTTACGAATGGCGAAGGGTCATGGACGCGCGGACTCGTGAATAGGGAGTAGATCAGAGCGTATCCACGATTGAGACTATTCTCAACGACGATGCAAGAAATGTCCGCGTACCCAAAGCAATGGTGACAAAGCACATTTCTCAAATCACCCATGGGACCGGGCTCAGGGAATGGCCAATATTGTACCAATGAATATCCAACACGGTTAAATGCAAATAACCCGGAGATGAGGGCATTGGTAACATCGTTGATCGTCGATGGACCCTCGCGCTGGGACCAAACTGGAATAGGTATATGTAGACCCTGCATGAACCTACCTATCATTTGCCCTTGGAACGACAGCAACAAGAAGTGTAAGCATTCCAGAGTCTGCTACGGCAGCCGATGATCACCGAGACTGGCAAGGCGAAAAGATACACCTTTGCGGGTGGTCCTCACCTGAGGCTGGCTGACATTCTGTTGATATTTCCGGACATAGCAGCAGCATGTTGTTGATGTCCCCCCGCCTCGTCTGCCTCGAAAGAGAACAATCGAATGACAGTGAAAGAAGATTCTTTGAATTTGTAGTTTGAAATTTGCGGGAACGAATTCAAGGTTTCCATATGTAGTTCTTACGTAATACTAAGAGTTGTAACAAATCAATTGTAGAGGACTAGAACCAGGGTACAACCGCAATAAACGCCCAAAATTGGCTTTCCGTTTGCCACCATGCAGCCCTGCCTGCGTCGTCTCTACTCAACGCTGCCCGACGCAGCGGCAGCGGCTCGAACAGCATCCACCCCGCGCGCAGTGCGCCTTCGTCGTCTGCGAAAGAGACCCGAACCCAAACCTCTCGAGGCCGATGTCACACCAGAGGGTTCTACACCGACAGAGTTTGCACGGTACCAACGAGACCTTGCCAAAGCAGAGTTGCTCGGCCCAGACGGTAGAGAGCTGACTGAGGGGGAATGGTTGCAGAAGTTGAATGAGCGCAGGAGTAGAGTGCGTGGTGTGCGAGAGGTGACAACGAAGGACGGAGAGAAACAGGCACACGTCGTCGCCCAAAAGGTCTACTTGCCCAACATCATCTTCCGACTTGTGAGGAATCATACACCTGCAGGCCAACCATACAACCCCTACGAAGCTACGTTCCGTATACCGCAAAGCGTGACGAAAACGGACGTGCGCTCGTATCTGGCCGCTGTGTACGGCGTAAAGACCACGTACATTCGTACCGACAACTACCTTGCTCCCATTCCCAACCCCCTGAATCGCCGCAGCCTCAACTACAAGACATACAAGCGTGCTGTCGTGGGTCTCGTTGAGCCCTTCTATTATCCCCAGGCTATGGAGGACATGTCGAAGGAGGAGAGGGAGACGAGGCAGGCACAACTCGAACAAGACTTCCTCATCGAGAAAACGAAGCAGCAGAGGGCTATCGAACTTCTGCGGGCTACAACGAAGAGCAGTGGGAAGTTGTGGAGGTGGAGGACGGGTGCTACCGCTCAGAGAGGGAATATCCTTCGTCGTATTGCGGAGGCAAGGGCTGCGAGGGAAGGTTTGGTCGCCGATACTAAGGCGAAGATACAGGAGGCGAGGCGGCAGGTCGAGGTTGAGGCTACGGCGTAAAATATACGTCTCTACTCTACAGTTCTATAATCTCATTCTCATCA